GATGGACGCTAGGGGAAAATGAGTGATATCCGAGTGAAGATATGGTGGGTACTAATGTGTCTGGGTTGATGTCTTGGTTTTGCCAGATGGGCTGTGTTTGTGGGAGATGATAAAGTTAGGGGGGCCTGGGCAAGGGGTTCACGGGAGGTCTGCACCATCATTGCAACTTCTCCATAAATCCAAAATGATTCTAAAAGAAAATGGTTATTTAAAGTAAAAAACCAGGTAGGCTTAAAGGGCTTTTGCCCCGACTCCCCCACCAGTCTATACGTCAAACAGGAGCCAGAGGGAACCTGTTAAATCAGGAGAGGGGTTTGTGCTACTCAAGCGTGTGTGTTTCTCAAAATGTGTCAAACAGTAACAGGTAAAATTTTATGCACTTTACTGTATTTAAATTTTGCCAGGGATGGGAGCTTAAATAAATATTTGATAGTCTGTTGTGAAACGCATGCTAAAGTGTTTAGGGGTGACATGCTCTGATGTTTGCAAATTGCTTTGAAACAAATTTTTAAAAGACAGATGTATGGGAACTGTGCATAATTTCTACTCAGTTCTGCTGTGAACCTCAGACTGCTCTAAATAGTAACACTTGCGATAGATGATGGATAGGTGGATAGATGAAAGGATGGATAGATGGACAGGTTCATTGTGAAGCAAATAGAGCAAAACGCTAATTGTAGAGTCTGGAGGTGAGTATATAGGTATTCGCTCTACAATTCTTTCCATTTTCTATATGTTTTTACATTTTCATAATAAAACGTGAAAAGAAAACAGAGAATTTAAATCCTGCCAGCCTTGGCATGAGTCTCTCCCAAGCTTCCCCGCATCTCCCTTGGAGTAGAAACCAAGTGCTTGTGAGGCCCCTACCCGATTGGACTCCCTTTCTCCCTGATCTCTCCCATTACCTTCTCCTCTCTTGCCCCCTCCAGTCACTTTGGCCTCTCTGCTTCCAAAACAGTCACACTCCCACCTCAGAACATCTGCATCCACTGTGCCCTCTCCTGGGACATGTCTCCAGCAACCTCTGAGGCGCTCCTGCACTCCTTCCCTGCCCTATGTCCTCTTCATAGCACATATCCCTCCTAAGCTGTGTTATCATTTACTTGCTTCCTGTTTCCATGTCCACCTCCTTCCACCAGAAAGGAAGCCCCACGTGAGGAGGGATCTGCATCTGATTCATTAACTCACAAGTGATCAGCACCTAGGACAGTACCCAGCACATAGTAGGCAATGTCAGTATTTGTTGAATCAATGTCCCGAATCTATTTTTTAAATCCGTGTCTCCCACCAGAGTGTAAACTTGTCTATTCATCGACTGATGATTCTCCCACCTCTAAGAACAGTCCTATGCACATAGTAGGTCCTTAATAACGAGTTTTAGGATAAACAAATGAATGAATGAATGGGTAAGGATGGATCCTTGTGTAAGGGTTAAGAGCACAGGCTTTGAACCATACACCTGGGGTCATGTGTGGATCTGCTACTTACTAGCCACATGATCTTGAGCAGGTAAGTTCTCATCATCTACTTGAGTTTCCTTCTCAAAGAAACAGCCTCTGTGGTGATGGATAAGGAATATTCATCCATTGCTGGTGGGAATGTAAGTGGTACTTTGGGAAGCAGTCTGGCAGTTCCTTAAAAAGTTTATCATAAACTTCTCACACAGCCTAGCAATTCCGCTCCTGGGTAGTCTGCCCAAGAGAAACGAAAGCAAATGTCCACAGAAAGACTTGTGCATGCATGTTCATGGCAGCACTACTTATAACAGCTAAAGAGTGGACAAAACCCAAATATCAGTCATTGGATAAAAAAATGTGATCCAGCCATACAATGGAATACTACTCAGCTATAAAAAGGAATGAAGTACTTATACAATATGCAATGTGAATAGACCTTCAAGACATTATGCAAAGCGAAAGATGCCAGATACAAAATGCCACGTATAGTTTGATTCATTTCTATCACATGTCCAGAAAAGGCGAACCTGTAGAGACTGAAAGTAGATTAGTAATTGTCTGAGACTGGGCCTGGGAATGGAAAGAGACTATTAATGGATACAAGAGATCTTTTGGGGTTGATGGAAATATTCTAAAATTGGGTGGTGGTGATAGTTGCACAATCCTATAAATTTACCAAAAATCTTTGAATCGTACATTTAAAATGAACAAATTCTATAGTTTGCAAATAACACCTCAATAAAGTCATTTAAGAAAAAAAAAGGAGTCCGTAATAGCCTCTATCTAATGGGGAAGATGAAATAAGGTAATCCATGTAATCCCGTTAGGAAGAGATGCAGGATAAATACTCAAGAAATGTGTTTTGTATTGCTGTTAACAAATGTCAGCACAGAGAAAGTCTTCATAAGAATAATCACCATTTGGTTATTTTATCATTTCCTGTGTCTTTCCAGGTACCTGGGCCTCAGTTTTCTCATCTGCAAAATGGGAGGTCCAGATTCCATAAGGCCCTTTTCTCATCCTAAGTTCTGCATTTTGTTCTAGGAATATTTCTCTCTGGAGGCAGCAGATCCTTGAGGATGATTAAGCCTGGGACTTGGAGAATGCTGGTGGGCAAACCCGTGAAATGCAGGGATGATGATACCTTGGGGCTTAGAGGTCACCATATGTGT